GTATTGGCTCATGTAGTCTATGTATAGAGACATAATGTTTCCTGTTTTTTTTCTAGACAGAGGACATACCTGTCTGTCTGTGTCCAGCAGCAGCATGTCCTCGACTCAGAACATCAGCGTCTTCTTATGGGAAAACCACCTGCTGGACAGATTCTCAGAATACTTTGTACTCTGTGATTCAAACCATCTGTTTTTGTTGTCAGTCACTTATAGCTCGACCAAAGACTGGAGATGTGTTTTTTGTTTTCCTTCCATGGCACAACGTGGATTTTACCCATTGAATTGGATCTCTGTGCTCTCCATAAACATTAAAGAACCCTCTTTCAGTTACTAAAAAGGTCCTGAACGATCTTTCAAAAACAACTCTGAAAACCTTCACCCAGTATGATTGGCTATTCAGCCTGAAATCTGACTTTGGGGACAGAAACAGCTGGTTTGTATCTTTTTCTTTACTTAAGTAGAAGCACATATGTCACTGATCTGTGGCAAAGAGGGTGCATAAAATGCACTTGAAAATATGTTCAAATGCTGCACTAATGCATGTAATTAAAGTGATATTATTATTATTATATATATTTTTTTGTTAGATACAACAAAAATTATTTATATCAAATGGTTTGGATAAATCTTATCTTTCAATAGCTTGCATGTCTTCCTGTATTCATAGTTAGTGGTGAGACTTCAAAACTGACATACACTGCCATCTAATATGACAGAGCTTAAGTTAACCACCACATAATTTAAGATATGTGGTTTAGTCTTGAGATGAGCAACGGTCCTAGTAACATTTCCCAAAGGTCTTTCAATTGTAATTGCAGCAAACAATAGAACGTATCGATAGACCACATGTTTGGAAAAACGAGTCTATCCACTTTACAATTATCAAGTACGTTGTGTTGTTCTGTCATACAAGAGTCCAACTGGTATGAATATTTTCAAAAGACATTCTGTCATCACATTCCCATTTGAAAAGTTTCAAAAATCCGATCTTTGCAGGATTTTGCAAGTTGAAAACTTTTTAATGCAACTTTAAAAACGGACTAAAAACCTATTGCTGAGCTCTGACTGTAGCAAAGTCAGAGCTCACCAATAAATATTAATCTGGCAGAGAGTAAAGGTTCAACAAGTACATTATACGGTCAGCAGAACTCTCAACAATGAGAGGCTCTCACTTTTGCTTGGAACCAAGTGTGAGAACATAATTGTATTCAAAGTTAAATGAGACAGACTGACTGCCTGGCATGCGTCACATCCAGGCAAAATTGGCCTTGTTTACAACACCAAACTGGACACTGGGATTTCATATGCAATGCCAAACTTTGCAGGAATGCAGCTCTTTTGTACAATTTCTCGTAACTATACAGTACTTCCAGTTAATGACAGAATGTTAAAGTAAATTAATTAGGGTTTGACTCAGATGCAGATATGCTTTGAACCCAAAATGTGACAACAAGTTAGCTGAGATCATGTGTCTCTTTAAAGCTTCAGTACAAAACTTTGACAAATGTCTCAACATACTATCACGACATGGTGATAGTTTTAACAAATATGTTAAAAAGATATATTTTTTTATAAAAGTCACATTCTGCAGCTTTAAGACACGTGACAGATTACGGACTGTGTGCTACTACATACGCATTTGCATGCAGAGAGTGTAATCTAAAGTTTCCATGTCAACAAAAGCATCAGAAATTTCCGCTGAGGTTTGAAATCCAGGTTGGAAAGTTGGAGGTTTGATGCCAGCTCCGACCTCACAATTTTAAATGGTTTTGAGTGCATATTTCATTTTCATAGCTGCAAGAATAAATTAACTAACCCCCACTAAAAACATCACTTCTGTACAAATAGGTTCATGTTGACCTCTTTCATTAGCATTAACTAACCTGGTTCCTGAGCACGAGTTTGAAAATCCCACTGGTTTTGTGACTGGCAAATGGAAAATGCTCATGGTGGGTTTGTTGACGTCTCGATAAGTGGAACAAATAAAAACAGAATTAATAATTGACATGTATGTTCTGGGGGAAAATAGTATAGGATTCCCAGGAGACTAGGAACTGAAGATTTAAGATTGCAACTCCTGTCACTGGTGAATTGGAAGATTTAGGCGATGGGGCCCCTGATAGCTAGAGTTATTGCTTTGCTAAACTTGCAGTAATTCAAGGGCTGCCAAATAAATTACCACATTACTCATCAGGATGGATGGATGCAGAGACAACACTGCGGGTGATTGGAAGCTCTGAGCTGAGTTTGTACGCTTGTGTTCGGAGGTTTTTGGGAACTTTACCATCTGTAAATGATCAGCAGGAGATTGTTTTTCCTGACATTAAGTCGGTTGTAACCAATTTGTTTTGTCTGACGTATCAAAGTCCTGTTAGAAGAAATAGGCCAACGACTGACGTTTCTGTTCCCATTTCTGTTATTAATGATGTGCTTTAAATGTTTTCTCTTTTGCCGTTGCTTAGTGTTACATTGTGTACAGATGTTTTTGCAACTTCCATTGGGAGAAAACTTCAATCATTAGTGAATATTTACAAAATGGATAACCTATATTAAAGCCAATAATTAAATCTACCCCATAATCATTCTTGCAACCTCTCATACTCAAGATAGAAAGATTAATTACATACCAATACACTGAGCAATCATTATCACAGAAAGAGAAGCAAAAATATTTCTCAGGAATGACATTTATTTAGGATTAATCAAAGATAATTATAGGAAAAGCAGTCAGAATTAGAAATAGAACAAATCATTTAATTCATTGTGACTCAAGCTAATTAGAAATAAGAGTCACAAACCAAACTAATCTGAAGAAGAAATATGCTGATGCACATTCAGCTCTAAATTAAAAAAAGGAAGTATTAAAAATACTAAAAAAGTATTAAAAAAGACTATTAAAAATACTCCAGGAACTGATTAATATCTGAGATTAATTAAGTTTACCTGCTATTAGTCATAAAAATTAGAAATAAAAGTGTTTGTAAAAACTCTATGTATTACCTTCATTTTGGATTAAATTACTGAAATTATCTGTTACGCTGCAAGTTATTTTTCTTCAGTAGCATGCGACTCTGGGATACCAAGACTACATGTGAAAGGAAAACATTTAAAGTAAATTATGAGCTTGCTGACGGTGCTAATGAGCATGTGCCTATCTCTGACTAATCTGTTGGAAGAACATACATCTGGCTTTGGAGATTTAAACAGGTCATGCTTGGGCTGCAGTGTTTAACATGAGAAATCACAAAAAGGTCTTCGTGTTACCATCTGAAACTATATTTAAACATATTTATATATAAATATTTAAGCCGATTTTGACATGTGACCTTAACTTAATTTGTCATAAGACATCAACTCACTGTTTGGATTTTACACGCAGACATGTCTCCGTGTTATGCTGACAAATCTCACACCCTCATGTGCTCAGTGGAGACAGTACACACACTGTCTGGATCCCTAAAAGTAGTTTATCAGAGAGGATCCATCAAATTTCCACTCTGTTATCTCAGGCAGTCTGAACTCCCATGTCCCTTCAAAATTTCACATTCAACCTAAACGCCTGTTTGATTCATTATAGGTTATATTATTTATACAGAAAATATATTTAAATCCATATTATGTCATATTACAGTTTGTGTAGTTTTTTTTTTTTTTTTTTTTTTTAGAGGTAATATGCTATAGCATTCCAGTTCTGTTGAAGCTGTGTTGCGAGGCCCTGTAAGTCACTGCAGTGTTGATGTTGAAAGTGGAATTATGGTAAGAATGTGGAGCGACGTGCTGGGGCAGACTGTACTTGGCTGTTTTGTCTTGGTGGTGGTCTGAGGCTGCTTAATAGCAGTGCTTTGCTTCTGGAAAAGTAGTGAGCTTCTGAATTGATTAAATATCCCCAAGAACCAGCATCTGGTTGCGTTAATACATCACACACATCTCCGGTGCTCTCAGGTTAACACCGGGATCAAGTGCCGCCTCTTGATCACCCATGGAGAGAAATACCACAGAGAAGCCTCTAGTGTACTCTGAGGCAGTTTGTTTGTTGAGTGCAGCACACAAAAATGTATTCAAATGATTCAAGAAAGAAGAGAAATTTGTGGCCCTTGCAGAGCTCATTAGTCGTAGGTTTCATTCAGAAACACAGCTGGGATTTATTATTAGCTCTAAATGTGACAGTAGAAATCATTTTTCAGACAATTTTGAAAAGAAAAGATCTGGAGAAAGTCAATAAAAGCTGTTTTTCTCCAAGTTGCAGGGAAAATTCCAGTCAAACGTCACACAGTTCCTTCACCTCTGAATGGTGTTTAAACACATGATTATATCTGCATTATAACAGCATGGTTCAATTCAGTTCAGTGTCAACTAACAAAGAGCTTTATCGTGATGAAGGAATATGGCAAACTGAACTGGGATTATAATGAGAAATTTAAAGCAGAGTTACGTTATATGAAGTTCTGCGTCACTACAAACCTACCGAGACATAGCCGTCCACCAAAACTGACAAATTAGCAATGATAGCATTAGAGGCAATTAGGTAACTTGTTGAAGAGATCCACAGTTCCTGAGGGGGAATGTTGAGATGGCATCAAGTAGACATGCACTCAACATATCTGGCTTTTATAAATCAGTTAAATCAGTGGCAATAAAGCCATTGATGAAAAATGCATGTCTTTCGGTTGCCACAAGCCATGTAGGGGGCAAAGAAAACATCTGGAACAGGGTGTTCTCAAGTAGACACAAATTAAACTACATGTAAAACCTGGTTTGGGATATGAAATCATCTACAGCTCCGTCCTCTAGATCATCATCAGCTCCTGTCTGGCCGGTGCAGCCTCTTGTTCCTCAACTCCCTCACTCAGTATGGTGCAACAATATGAGGCAGGCACAGGGCAGAGGTTAGATACACACGAGGACAGGTTTTTGTCTGCAAAAAAAAACAAAAACAAACCCTTCTATAATCATACACTGGGAACGCACAGCAGAAATCTTTCAGTATGAGGTGTGATTACTTGCGTCTTTTTCTCCATCCAGACCAGTTAACATCACTGCAGGATGTTAACATCAGAGGAAAGTTCAACAAATCTGTGGTTAGTTACAGACGTGGCTCTGATGTTTGACTCCTGTATTTTCGACAAAAACGTCGAGCTTCTGAAGTTGTTTTGACACATTGTGCAAACTGCTGTAGGATTTCATGCTTTGTTCCATCATTGCCATGAAAAACTGCAAATTGTGCAGTGTTTTCTTTTGCGGTTGAAGATACAGTACAAACTCTCATAATACAGCATGTGCTTTAGCTAAAACTGTCCAAATACTGTGATGTATGTCAACTCAAGTGTGTCGTGTTAACAGATCATTGGTTTTGTGTGTGCGCGCTTGTATATATACACTACGCTGTGTCAACATAATTTTGCAGACGTGATTGCTCTCTGGCGCTAATGGACAGCTCAACAGCTGGAAACACAGACGTGCAGATCTATACTGGTTTCATGCCAGTACTCATCAGAATCAGCTAACTGTTATTAGAAATTCATACCACCTTAGCAAAAATGGTGCCATGCATACGTCACTTAGGACGAGGCATAAGCATCCCTTACTTTACACAACAACACTTGTAAGCAAGAAAAGACATCAGTTTGTCTCTGATTCAGATAGCCAGAAATCTGGACAATGAAATAAAGTTCTGCAATCCTATTTAGCCAAGAGAGATCTAATGTACCAGATAAACTGAAAGGGGGAGATTTGATCCGTTTAAGTGTGTTTGCAGATTTTTGAAGAGAAAGATTTGCTCTGGGGATGAATGGAGTTTTTGAGTTTGCCAGGTTCAGGATGTTTTTACAATGTGTGCTGCAGTTAAACTTTAAAATGAAAAGTCAAACTAAAGCAGCTAATTAACAAAAAAAAAACAAAAACAAAAAAATTATTCATATGTGAGGGCTTCACATTGTGTTTACAAGCTATAAGTCAAGGTCCCCATTATATACATTTACATTAGATTATTATATTTTGATTTCACAGCTGATGAACTTCAAAATTACATAAAATAGCAAAATATATCACTGCATGATTGCTTGTCTAAAAGGTAAAGTGCTTCTGTTAGTAGTTCCTGTTTGTTTCTTTAAGGAAGGTCCTCACAGCCAGGCAGAGAAACCATGCTTTTCTTTCACCACCCATATGCTGTCGATCACTTTGCCATACTGGAAAAAAAAACAGAAATAGTTCCTGTCATTATTTATGGAAAGGTTTTCCTTCATAAAATGCATTCTTTCACTTTTGCCATGCCTGTGCACATGTTATTCCACGTGCCCTCACCTGGTCATCAGAGACCTGCTCCAAATAAATGTGGGTGGTGTTAACCACTTGCATGCGGCTGTAGCCATAGTCAGTGCTGCGGAAAGCGCTCCACTCTTTGGGGTTTGGATTAAACCTGTCAGTTCTCTCTCTGCAGCCCTGTGGAAGATTCAGCAACAATTAAATTGACTCAGATGAGCGACACACGCTTATTCCAAAACTCATTCCTAAAAGCCCTGTTTGACTTGTGGCAGTGCCTCGGTGTTGGTCTGGCAGCATTTTTGATATGCTCATGACTAATCCCTCTGTGGCTGAATGACAAAGCGTGCCCTGCGCGGCTCTCCACCACATCAGAAAAAACTTTCCCAGAGGAACAGCTGGTTCTAAGCTTTTGTGGCAGACCAGCGGCTGCACAGACAGAGCTGTGTACAATTCATGACAGTGTTTTTGTTGATGTTAGTGAATGCATTGATCTGTGTGGAAAATGTTCACAAAGATGCAGTGATGTGACAGTACTTACAGCAGAGCCTGTTATAATATGTACTGGAGCCTTTGGGTTTACATAGGGCTGCTCTTTGCTTCCATTGTACACCTACAATGGAAAACATAGCAATATAAACTGTTGCTATACTGACTATAGAAATACAGGAAACATCTGTAGAACAACTGGAAATAAGACTCCAGGAGCTGACCTTGTCACCGTACACAGGCCAGAGTCGTTCATAGGTGTGCTCATGTGCCCACAGCTCGACATCTACCCCTGGAAAAGAAATTACATTACAATAGAAATTATGTGCCAAACATAAATGCACTCATTTAAGAGAATTGTAGCATAATCTAATCCCTCACACCCAGATATGGCTTAATTTTGAGATAATAATCAAATGCTTTGATTATTACCCAAGAACTGTAATAATTATCATAATTATTATTTTTTCACAAGACTTTACATTGTAATCTGGGTGAATTTCTACAAAGATGTCAGGTAGACCAAAAGGCTGCGTCTAAAAAGCTGGCAGGAAACTTTTAGAGTCTTTGGATATTTCTCTGAGTGTGAAAAGATGTTAACTAGCAGTACATTGCTAATGTTTCTTAAGGGATATACCATAGTGGTAAAATAGATCCTCGAGACCAGGGGCTGCTGGTTTGATGTCATTGCGTCCCACTCGGACCTAAAAATATTAAAGAATAGTTATTGTGTGAAATATCTGCTTTGTAAAACTCTCTAGAACTCAGCATTTGGCTTTACTTTGAGTGAAACTAGGAGGAATGCCACTGAGAGAAACACATCAAAGTGGAAACTACGTTGTTCAAATTAGAAATATGACAACACAAAACTCAGTGGAGTGCGGTGTGGTTTGTTTGGTTTAAAGAGTGTGTGACAAGTATGCTGCTAGGGCAAAACACCATTTATGAATAAAATGGTGGAACAACAAACCCAAGAGTCAAACTTTGTGCAGTCATCCTGGTCATCATCAGAGCAGTACATGGGTCTGTGTCCCATGGTGATGATCCATGGACGTACTGCTCTGTTCTCCGGCTTGTTGGCTTCCTATGTAGGATAATATTTCCCAGATGAAAAAAGGAGACACAACTATGAATTTAATACAGAGACCACCAGTAGATATTTGACGTAGAAAATTGTGTGACTGAGAAAAATTAATTTGATTAAAATTAGAAAAGGACAATCCTTAACCTCCAGATCTTGCTTCAGCCAATTGTACTGCTTAAAGATAAGGTCCATGCCATATTCAAGGTAGAAGTAAACCTCCGTAGAGAAGGAGATGATGTGTGCTGACCCAAGGTCCCAGCTGCAAATGCAAATTGTAAAAAATAACACAGACTTGACCAAGCAGAAGATGCGTGCTCAAAACCACTTACTAAGGAAATTCAGACCAGAGATTAAATTCCACATGTGAGCTGAACTCCAGATGAACTTTTTTGTAGAATGTTGCTACTAAGATAAGTTTAGCTTAGATTATGAGTCACTCAATAATCAAAAAGTCCAGGTCTGCTCCTGCTTGCATGTCAAATTTTCAGACAAATGCATGCTAAACAATAACAACTACAATATAAGTCAGAAAATTCCAGGGCTTGCTTATGATTTAAAAAGTTCATATTTAGTTATTTTAGGGAAAATAGAATTTACATTTAAAACTAAAATAGATTCAGCAACTTACCGAGCTAATACCTCATATTAAGGTGTGACCATTTTTACACCTCTAGTTGGGGTCTAGGTTCCCCAACTTCAATAGCTGCAGTATATAGTAAACCTATATGGCACATAATTATTGTTGCAATATCCACCAGTAATATCCAATAATAACATTACTGTATTTTATGCAGTACTGTGCAAACACTCTATCTCTGCTGATTAAGATTTACTCACCTCGGGATGTCAAAAGCTAAAACTGAAAGTGAAACTGACAGCAAAACCCATTCTATGATAAATGTAGCTAATAATTATCTGACCACTTGGGGGGAAGTCGTAATGTATTACATTTTATGACAGAAACAAAAACATACCTTTGGTCATGTATATAAAATTACATTCTAAACCCTTTATTAAGTCAGCTAAAAAGCTAACATCAACTAAACATTACTCAACAGCGCTGACTTTTAATCTTTAACTGTCTAAAGAAATCGATCTTCTTAGTCATAATAGTAACAAATTTCAACCCATGCATTTAGCACACAGCACTTAATGTTTTTGTAAGCACACAAACACATCTTGGGTATCATTTTTCTCCAACTCCACAGTAACATTACTTGAATGTTTTCATGCTTCTCTTTTTGAAAACTAACTAGTATACAGCTTAAGATCTCTGAATCTTAAGCTGTATACTATAAGCTATATATATCGTAAGATTTCTGTATTTATCTTCTGTTTCCTCTTTTTATTTTTATTTTTTTACAAAAAGGCATATAGAACGCACATTGTTTTCAAGTCAAAACTCAAAAGTTAAAGTGAATTCATAAGTCATACTTGTTGAAGTCAGTATTTTGAGATTTCGTCAAATCAAGTAATTTATCACTTGGGTTCACACCTCTGATAGAGTACTCTAAATGTCTGCTGTGATATCTTAGAACATTTTTAACTTATCTCAGTCTCCTCTCTATATAGTCACTTAGCCGTGATGCCCCTTCATCCTTAGACTGCACACAAGTGAAGGAGCAAGCCAGCAGAGCTGTCTGCGTCTCAGGCCACAGAGAGAAAGCTTGTGGTCTAGCAGGGTATTATCTTACTGTCTGAGAGAAGGAGTTATGTAGTGGGCAATGACTCACTAAGTCAGATGTATAGCTCTTTTGTGTAGTCCAAAGTGTTCCAAAGATAGGAGAGGCAAGCTTAAGTTAAAGAGGGGCACCCCACACTCTTCTGCAGGGTCTTACAACTCAGTAATGTTTACTTAAGCACACCAGGAGCTTTGGTACATCCGAGGAATTACAATCAATCTAAATCTGATTCCAGTGTTTGAGGATGTTACCTTTCAAAAGACCAGTGCAAGTAATAAAACATAAAACCTTCTTTACCTGTACCACAGGCTCTCAGTCTGACCCGGCATGCTGAAGCGATTCCTGTAGTTCGAAAAGTTGCTGAGAAAAAAAAAAAAAAAAGAAAAAGGTTTAGAGAAGTACAATTAACTGAACTGATTGTACTATCTTCAATCCTTGAACATGCAGCAAATAGCAATTACCTCTGCAAACTGCTGCTTTCTGATAACATGTGATGCATTCACCAGAAGACAAAAAAAGAACTGAAATGCATCCAAAATACACCAAGCTGTCTCTGAAATATAATGACTATGCAGTCGGCAGTCTACATTTGAAGCTGTTTAGTTTTATGTTGTGATCTGAGCTTGGGAGAAAACTCAGAGGGATCTGACAAAAACAACTTTCAAATCTGCAGTGATGAATTCTGATAAAAGTTTCACAAAAATAAACATGAAGCCAGCTGTAAAGAGACAATCACTGCCTATCTCTCCAAATTAAAGGCAAGGATACAGTCTGCATGACCTCAACCCATAACTTTGAACCATGGTCAGCTACTGGAGCCAACTAATCAAAATGCAGACCACATTGGGAAGCCTGGGTGGAGATGATGTGGGATAACCAAGTCTAACCATCCATGATTGGTTACGCTACATTTGTCCGTTGAGTATATTTGCCTTCAATTACAGCTTCCTGTTACTTTAGACGCTGTAGTCGTGAGAGAAATCCCATTTTTAAAAGGTATTTTAGTTTTAGCAGTTTTTATTAAGCCAGATGTAAGTAACATGCAGCAATCGCGCCAGAAATCTCAGGAACAGCTCTTCAAATTTAAAGGCCACACTGTGAATGAATGGAAAATAGGAGTGCACCGGAATTAAAACTTGGGCTGACATCAATATCTGATATTTTTATTGCTGTTACCTTTCAACACCATGAAAAAATAATCATACAGCTGACTACACTTCTCTGCTTCAGTTAAAACACTCCATAACTCTACACTGCATCACTGTCACATGCAGAGCGATTCCCGTACTTCAAAACAGGACTAACATCAGCTGATACCGGTGTCAATCCCAATATATTAGGTATCCCGAATGGAAAGGTGATTCAGGTCTCATGTTTTTCCTAATGGTTTCTACTTTTTGTGTGAATGCAGGGGTCAGTATTCTCAATGGCAACTTATTCATGGAAAGTGATAAGGATATATGTTTTTTTATTTTTTTTTATTTTACAAAAATGAAAAGGGGCAATATCCTCAACAGCAGATGAACTAGTCCCAACTCTGTCAACAAAGCATTCAAAATAACTGGAGAGTAATAGTGTAGCCAGGATCAACTTTGGAAATTGCTTCTGTAAATCCTGAAACGATCAAAGAGTAATGTTGTCATATGTCTATAGGCAGAAGGGTCCTGTCTCAATGATAACAATTTCTGATGTCAGTGTACAAGCTAATGTTGTTCTGTTTGTAGATAAATATTTAACGCCATATCAATGTGTGTCCGCAGTCCTAATTATGGCAGCAATTTCTTCAAAATAAATATACATGTATTCTAAAATCAACTCCTTTATATCTAACAAAACCTTAACCTGAGAAAATCCAACTTAATCTATGCTAATTAAGGTCCTGAGCTACTAGGAGACGTATAAAATGTTTATACCTCCCTCTAGTGGTTGAGAGCAGTATGAGCAATCATCTACAGGTAAGCGCTGTTCACTGAGGAAAAACAAATGGCTGAAATTCCAGTTTATCTGTGTTATAATACTAATACTGCAGTTACTGCAAGTGGCAGATAATGTCTAAAACAACGGTAATTGGTAGTAAAAACAAGATATTTAAAAAAGGTTCCTTAGCATATTTTTACTGTCAAAATATCATAGGTATAGACCAAAATTAAAGATTGTCACAACGTTTTAGCTCATTTTAGCAAAAACATAAAAGTATAAAACTAAATTTACATACACATTTTTATGGCAAATACATTTCAGCAGTAGTCAGACCTTAAATGTGTAAGTTGCAATGAATGGATAGCATATTTAGATAATGGGATGGTGAATAAGGTCTGAAAATGCAACTATGCTTCCTTAATTATCCAAATCCCAAAACTACTACTTCATACTGAACTTTTTTAGACTTGTCCAAAATTTTTGCACACATTAAAATCTGTGTTTCAGCAGAAAATCTGGTGACACCGATAAGAATATGTGCTCTTAATTTGGTTAGGAGTAAAGATATGAAACCTTCTCACAAACATCTTTCTTCATCAGATATTTGCTTTCATCTTCTGATTAGTTAAATTCAGGGAACAGGATGAAGCAGCAGGAAACAACTGCAAACTTCAATAATCATATCCCTAACTTCCATCTCTAGATAATATTTCAAACAGTGACTGTTATCTCGAATGTCTTTTGAAGGGCTGATGAACCATTGATGAATTAGCGTCTTCTGAGGACTCACTGTTGTCATTCTTCTGGAATCCTGACTACAATCTTGCGGCTAACCAAGTTTCAATTATTTTTTACCCATTAGGTTTTGAGGTTGGAAACAGGAACAGAGAGGTATGGGGAGAGAGAACACAACAAAAAAACAAGGCTTAAAGTCAGTCACGAGCTCCGGGGTATATTTGGACTCAGAACAACACCGCAGAACAAAACAGACGCTGAGGCATTATTAAGGGCAAGAGGAGCTGCATTTACTGGTTATGTAATGGAGCGAGATGATTCCTGATATCAGGTTCTGATGTTAGGATGTAAAGCCAAGAAAAAGAGACCACTGTTTGCAGTTCTGTAATGAAGACCAGGCTGCAGACACATTACAAATGGCACAGAGAAAAAAGGAACTGACCTGACCCACTGTTGCAGTAGGCAAATAAATATCGTGGTTCATGATCTGATAACATTACATTTTTCAGTATGCAAGAAGCACTCAGCAAACTGCACTGAAATTGAAGGATCCATTTGCTGCTGTTCTGATTTTTATCAGAATAAAAATCAAATGTAAACCCGCTAAGAACTGCAGCTTTTCTTCAATTTATCTTAATCACTTTAAAATGCATTTTCCTTTTTGAGCTCTCCCTCCCTTTTTTGATAATATTGTAGTGTTTTAGTGTAAAAAAAAATAAAAAAATAAAAAATACTGCAAACTCCCCATGCTTATTAAACTTTTAAAATTTTGTCAGAAAGCTGAATGTATTTTATTTGGATTTTGTTTAATAAACCAGCAGAAAAATCATGCATCAGTTATCTTACTTTTCACAACTCTACACAATTTTTCATTGGACAAACATATGCTTAACATAACATATGTACATTATGTTAAAGTTTGTGGTTGCAATGTGTGAAAATGTGGAAAAGACAAACATTTACAAATCACCATCTTAAGATTTAATATTAATTGACACTGTTCAATGTTAAAATGTCACGAAATAGGGTTAGAAGGCTACTACCGCATTTCATAAGTACTTTCTATTAAATGAGAAATTGTACTTATATATCTAACGTATATTTACAGGACCATCTTACAAAATCCAACAAATACAAAAAAAAAAAAAAACAACTGAAAGCAGTAAATCCTCAAATCTGAGCTGCTACGTCAACAAAGGAATTAGATCTGTCTTTGAAGAAACAATCAAAAACGATCATTTGCTACATTTTCCCAAGTTTAAAAGTTTCTTATACTATGCAGAACTAATAAATGTAGAGAACTCCAACATCACCGACTAACTCTGGAAAAAAACAGATAGTGAGGTGATAATTATTCCCAACCAGAAAAAGTTTATTTTGGAGAATGTTCCCTTGTCTGGCTGTTGGTGGCTGCTTCTGTGGCTCCAACCATAAGAGCCCAAAAATATCTCCCGTCTCTATATGAGTTAAGTGGAGAATTTTTATCAGAAAGCTTCTGTGTTGAATCTGGTAGCAAAGCTGTGGCTAACAATATGAGCCAACTCAAGAAAATGAAAAACAGAGTGTACTTCGGGTTTTGCCAAAACGGTGCAAAATGTGAAGAAAGACCCAACTAAAAACAACATAAAATGCAGACCAAAAACAGACAGTTTTAGTGACAACTAGACATGAGATTCCCATAGTGGAATAATCTTCAGTATAAAAAAACACTTTTTCATGTGGGTGTTGGGACATGAAGATCATGAAACGATAGAATAATGTTAACAAGTTGTCAAAGAAGAGAGATTGTGAGATGGAATGGTTGCTGGTTTGTATGATCACCATCGAAGTGGTAATGTACTGGTATAGTTAATACTGCTGGTTGGGAATGACATTAGCATCAACACTGTTTAATGAACGAACTTTAAACAAAAAATATAGCCTTTTGAACGCTTATCTGAGGCATCGCAGCAGCAAGCAGGGAAAGCAACTCTGCTCAACACAGCAAGTCGGTAATGTTGAGGAAAAACACGTTACACCAAATGCTGGGTTATGTTTTTCCTTAAGAGCTAAGATTTTATAAAAGAAACATCTCACTCATACCCTGTCAAAATAGTAATGTGTGAGCTTCACTTACTATGTAGATTCATGGTTGCCTGGACAGGTCATGTAGGGAACATAGGCGGCGATGGACTGAATCTGCCTCATAAACTCATCTCCAATTCGGGCATTGTCCTGGAGAAAGCAGAAGTGACTTATTTACCATGAAGGATTTTTTTTTTTTTTTTTTTACTAATAATCTTCAGCAAATATTTATTATTAAAAGTAAGAGGGAAATATATTTTCCAGACAGCTTTAAAAGTACAGCATCAATGTACAGACTGAACCACATTGAAACCAGTTTTTGTCTTAGATTTCTCCTTAAGCTTAATGCGGCATTTAAAAGCACAGTGTGATTCATTCCTGCTGCTGTGGTTTTGTACCTGCAACAACCAGACAAAATCCCCTTTCTCTGGTTTTCTCTTCATAATATCAATGAAGCCATGAATTTCACTTGGACATTCAAGCATTAAAAAAAAAAAAAACATCTTACTGAACTGGATCATAGTTATTAATTTCTAAAAAGGTCTGCCGATTCTATTTATCCATCTTTATATAGTAAAGAAAAACATTAGTAATGCAGAAAATCATTTAAGGGAAATTGATATTAGTATCTGAGACAAAGCTATGTCCGCTCAATAACACAGCAGACAGCTGGGAGGATTTTAAATACGCAAAATATGTTATTCGGACTCGTGATTTGTGGTTTTAAATGGCACCATTTCTATTCGGTGAATACTTGGGTGACGCGACCCTACATATCGTCTTTCATCCAAAGCTTAAGAAATCTCACAGTAATGTGGCCGAATGTCTCGACCGCAGAGTCTAGATGCCATGATTGTAAACAGTGGTTTGATTTGGGAAGAGGTTTGTAGAGGGAGGTGAAGCGGACTATCTCATCTAACATTTTAGATGAGTATCAGGAAAGTCCTGAGAGCAGAAAATGTTGATGAAAGAAGTCTCTGTCAGCAATCCTAGCGAAATTTAAACACAGATTTGATCACTTTTCACAACAAAGTCAGGGTACAGTACCTCGTGCATATCGTAGGCAAAGTCCCCTGTAAAGGAGAAACACATATTAGGTCCATATTTCACCACATTTCTCGGCAAAGATTTAGCATTTTACTAAAATGGCGAAAAGGAATTTTGTGACAAACTGGTTCAATTAAATTTAAATTTTAGCATTACATTCATTAATGTTGCTCATGAGCACGGCGCTCATGAGGAGCGCAGCAGATGTCACAGTCGGACAGAGCGGAAGCAGAAGGACTGTGTCATCAAACAGTCAGTTTCCGAAAACACACAAAAAATCTTGGAAAATGCACACAGGATCAGAGCGATCCCACCGGATCACAGAGAAAAAAGCTCTTGTGGGATCCAAATGACCCCATATCTTAAGACCGCAGGGGGGTTAAAGATGACATTTTAGAGACCTTAGGTGAAATGAAGTCTGTAAACATAAAACCTGCTTATTATTAAAATATGATGTTAAAAGAAAAAGCAGAAATCAAAAAGCAAATAGTCTGGCTGTGGGCAACTCCAGTAGCTCAAAGTGATTTTTGAGTAAAAGCGGTAACCTTTCTTCCACTTTTCTCTCTGTTGATCAAAGTATAATACTTTGTCCCTCCACCCAATTTATTATGCAGGGGTTTGATGGAGGAGTTTCTAAAATTTTGGAGAACAAATTCTTTCCCTACTGATTCCTTCACAGTATAAGGCAAACTAGATCTTGAGCTGGGGTTTGGAAAGGGTTAGCAAGCCTCACAAATCACATCTGCAAGACATTTAAACATAGTGATTGCCTAAAATTGCAAATCTATTTCTCTACAATGTGAAAACCAGCAGTGGGTGGCACCTATGGTGCTTGGCTGGGCTCTATAATGAAAGCCAGCTTCAAGTCTAAATTTTTTATTTTTTTTATTTGCAGGAGATCTCAAGCTAGGCCAAAAATATCAACATCCATCTGAAGTCTGCAGATATTGTACAACTTACTTACATTTTCAGAGGTGAAGAAATACACAGCAGGAGTCCATGAGGAATCCAACCCATAAGCTTTAAAAGCCAAAGTCGATTATAAATATTATGCTTGCTAATTAAAGTAATTACAAAGAAGCATTTCTATTTTAGTACAGGTTTCTTTTGGATGTAATCAGCCTTGCTTGAGGCGATTAACACAATCTGTAAGCAGTGCCAGATATTTGTGTTGATAAAAAATAAATGAGCATTTAATTTGTCATTTAGCATTATCAACTCCTAATCAAGCGAAGAATAAATAAATGCAATCCGTGCAGTTACCTATGTGCAGGATGACATCATACATGCCAAGCTGAGTCTCCTTTTGCAGTCGAGCCAGCGACTGGGGGTTCTCGTTGCCCAGATCACCGTAGAGAGCAAACCTAGGACTGAAACTGGAGCTACTGTTCAGAGCGGTGAAGGAGAATATGTCACTCCAGCCTTCATCACTGCCACAGTGGTAGACTAGAAAATAAAAAGAGTAAAATTAAACTAAAATAATGCAAGCACACAGAAAATGCCAGTAAAATCCCAGGACTATCCACCGTATGTGGCAGCAGGTTTGAGGCCTGTGAGGGTGACTCTGTGGATGAACATCTTCCGCTTCTCCTCTCCTGAGTCCACAAAAACAGTAGCATCTCCTTCGGCACTCATCTCGAAGAGTCGACCCCCCTGAAGACCATATTCCACCTTGCTGTCTGTCTTATTAAACGTGGTCCAGGTCACCACCATGGAGCCCAGCACTCCTGCAAAAAAGAAAAAAAAAAAAAAGGCAAGTTACTGGAAAAGTTCTGGAGGCAGATATGATAGAGAGCCTGTTATCACTTACTGATACATTTATAAAGGTCAACAGACGATTATGAAAATGCTGACTACATAAGTGTGGCACTTTTGTTCTTGTGCCTGGCGAGGCACAAAATGACAGCGGGCCATATGTAAAAAGAAGATGGGGGATCTATGAACAGTATTTTCAAGTCTTGCCACAAATTGTCATGTAGACTTAGACTTTTTAACAGATGAATATTGTTTCATCTAACCTGTTTTAAATTGTGACTCCGACTGGAAGGTGAGCCTCTCAGTTAATCTAGAGTCTTTTGCTAGTTTTTTTTATATGATTTTAACTCCATTCATCATCCCATCAACTGACAGATTTCCATTTTAGTGCTGGGAAAAAATACATTCCCATAGCAAGATGCTGCCATCACCACATGACAATATGGGGATGTGCAAAGTTTCATCTTCACAGATATTTATTTACTAATCGGGTCTTCTAAAAGCACTGCATTTTATGTAATAATATGTGAATAAGGGGTTTAGTTAACATGCCACACTTTTCAGATTTTCACTTGTGAAATAATTTGAAACTCATTTTTCTGCATCTGACAATGTTTTTCATTGTTGAAAAACAATGGCTATAAAATATGCTGAAGTTTGCAATAGTAGCAGGACATAGCATAAAAAAAGGTCAATAGGTGTGACTTTTACAATGTATAGCTACCATCTGCATCTGTAGACTACAAGAGAACGCACATCCACTGACAGAGACAGCATTTAGAGGTTAATGATTTATGATAAACTGTAGCAATACTGAGGTCAACTTGTTACAAAGCTACAAAAACATACCTGGTTTAGTCTTTATCCTTAATACCTTCACACAAAACATGTCCAAACATACTGGAAGATTCTTGCCAGTAAACAGAATATGGTGTACCCATATGTAAATATGACTTATAGGGAAGGGATGAAAACATACCTGGATAGGAGAGATGCACCTGCTCTGGTTGGGTCCAAATAGGAGGAACACTAAGCACCAACAGGGGTGCAAAGCTTAACAAAACAGAGGCAGTTTGAACAGACACCATTCTACCATTGGGTTGCCGTCTGATGAAGACAAACACAAAAAGAAGCAATGGAGACATTTCAATCACATGATCCCTTTAATGCTGCCACACCTAAACTCACATGACATTCAAAATTTCCCCCATAACTGACCTCAAAAGGAGCTGATTAAGTCCACAACAGTTAAACCCTTGGCTGTCAGCTCATATGTTGAAACTGCAGATCCCAAAAAAAA